TAAAATATACCCACATTTTAGTAGTCAATGCTGGAGATGCCAATCGCCTGCAGCTCTGGGGACGTACCCAGAGTTACTGAAAAAAAAGAAGTAACAGGGTTCAGAGTAGACTGCTCCATAGAGAGATTCCTACTGAAGTTGCTCCCCAGGCACATACCAAGGGCTATCCAAAAGATAATATATTTAATACTCACATCGACCTCCACATTGATTGCGAACAACTGGAAATCCAACACACTACCAACTATCACAGTCTAACGATTGTCATCGTGCCATACACTATATTGTGTATTTGGGCCTGACTGGGATTGAACCTGGGTCTCCTGCTTCCCAGTCAGTAGCCTTACCTTGGGCTCCACACATCTTTGGTTATTTTCAAATCCTGGTATCCTGTTCTCCTTGTCTACGCCTGGACCCTACTCACTTCCTGATAGTGGCTGATATCAATTGTTACACAATGTCAGATCGTTTTGTTATTGTTTTGTATCTTTGCTGTTTATCTGACTCCTAGTTCTTGATCCTCTGCTCGTCCTTCATTTTGCCTGTTTGCTGCCTGTCCTGACTACTGGTTCCGTTCCTGACTAGTCTTTTGGATATTCCTTGCCTGTACCTCGTTCCTGGAAGCACTAATTATTATCAGCACCAGTGCACTGTTTCACAGCCTTGGGCATTTCTACCTTGAGTCCCCCTTGGCTTGTGTAAAATTGCAAAGGGTGCTTTTTACGCTGCGTGTTGACTCCCAATCAAGGTAAGATCATTACACACAAATACAAACAATGGTGACAGCCACCCTAGAATACGAAGTAATGATGTGGTGCCAGACGAAGAAAAGGAAACTGAGCCCCTCTGTCCAACAAATCTGGGTTTGCTACACACAAGCCACTACGACACAGTGAGTTAGCATACTACTAAGATGTTCCAAAACAGCGTGAGGAGAGATTTATCAATGGAACATCACTTAAAGCACTGTATCAAAATGTACAGTTGCATGGACTCAGTCATACTGCAACTTCTTTGATCCAGCATGAAAGACAAAATTGATTCAGCATGGTGTTAAATATCTGTAAGAGCAATTTCTGATTCAGAGGAATACTGAACATTCCACGGCAGTGTTTGATACATTAGCCTGGCTATCAAGAACAGCATTACAAGACTATGAGGTTGATGATATTACAGCGTTGTCTCATCATTTACAGAAACAACTCTGTCTGAAAATCATGACAATGAGTGATATGAATTCAAAGTCATTGGCAAGGGGAAGAAACAGAGTGGTCTTCTGGACTTGGCACTCTTCATCACAGATTTCTATTTTTGGGAAACTTGTTGTCTATAGTCTGTGTTGCGCATGTTGTGAGAGGGTTCAGCTTAATGAACTTTGTAAAAAATCTAAGTTCAGATCATTAAAGGGAGACTATAGTCACCAAAACAATTTTAGCTTAACCCCTTGACGACCGGTGACGGTTCAGGACCGTCATCGGTAACATACCGTTGACGGTCCTGAACCGCCATAATGGAAACCAGGCAGCCTCTGCCGAAATCCCGTTGTTACTATCTGCCCGGCATCCCAGGCAGATAGTAACAGCCAGCCAATTGCGGCGTGTGAGCGATCCGCGATCGCTCACAATTGGCTGATGTCAAAGTGGGTGTTACAAACACTCACTTTGACACTGATCTCTGCCCCTCTCTTCTCTGTAGCGTTTTGTGAGGCGAGAGAGACAAATCAGAGCGGATAGTTTGTTGTGTTAAAAGAGTAGCTAGAAGTGTCAAAACCTGTTAAAAAGTAAAAAGAAAAAAAAAATTAACCCCTTCCCTGCCAAGTGCTGTTACAGCAGTGCATTTGTACAGCTTGGAGGAGGCATAGGCCTTCTTGGCGTCAGACTCAGACGCCACTGACACTGCGTCTGATTTTGACCCAGGTCAGTTTTCTGACATTTCTAGTGACACGTCATCTGTCTGTGAGCCGGCTGCAAAAAGAAGCTGTGCTTCCCCTGCTAGGCCGATTGTGGAGGAGGTACCTCCACAGTTAGTTGAGCCCAACACCCCCCCTTTTAGTGCCAACGCAGGCATTAGTGTCAATGTGCAGGACTTCTCCGCTATGCAGTATATGGAGCTATTTTTAGGGAATACCATCTGGGAGGAGATTGCTTCCCAGACTAATTTTTTTATGCAAATTCAGGTAGCTATGTAGTCAGGGAGCATGCTTGGCATCCCACAGATGTCCCTGAACTCAAAAAATTATGGGCTCTTACGATGCTCATGGGGATAATTAAGAAGCCATCAATCCGCACTTCCACTTGGCAAGTCCAAAACTTGTTACTGTAAAATTGTGGCAAAATAAAAATGAATGGGGACGACTTTGCAGGAAAAAAAAACTGGGGTGTTTTCTGGCAGTAACACATAACCTGCTGGCTAAAATCAAAAGCAGAATTCACAAATTATCACCATGCAGGTTCTCTGAAATTATTTTAGCACAATAGTTAGGGAAAGGATGTTAAAACACCCCATATAAAATACCCTGGAATGCCTACTTGATAAAAATCAAGGCCAAGCATACCTATATATCAAGTTGAAAAACTGACATGCACAAGTGTCTTTCGTGGCCTTTTAGCCCCCAAACAACCCAGCAAACCTATGCATGGGGGGTATCACTGTACTCGGGAGATGTTGCTGAACATATTGGGGTGTTGTTTGGAAGTGACACATAACAGGATCTGTTAATTCATGCCTAAAGTACAATGTGTGTGACAAAGAAACAAAAAAAGATAACTACCCAAAAGTTTGACAAAGGCTGGTGGTAGAATTCAGTGCATGAAAAGTGTTAAAATACCCTGGGTTGTCTACTTTTCAAAAATATATGGTTTGATGGGGGTAAAATACATTGGCTCAAATGAGACATGGGTGCAGGTTGATTACATGTCAAAATTCCAAGTTGGGAAACTGATAAGCGCACCTGCCAAACGTGGCCTTTTAGCCCCCAAAGAACCCGACAGACCTATGCATGATTGGTATCACTGTACTCAGGAGATGTTGCTGAACACATATTGGGGTGTTGCTTGGCAGTGATGCATAACATGATCTGTTAATTCATGCCTAAAGTACAAAGTGTTTAAAAAAAAAAAAACACACAAAGTAAATTACTACCCAAAAGTTTGACAAAGGCTGGTGGAAGAATACAGTGCATGAAAAGTGTTACAATACCACCATTAAAAATACCCTGGGTTGTCTACTTTTCAAAAATATATAGTCTGATGGGGGTAAAATATATTGGCCCAAATAGGATATGGGTGCAAGTTGACTAAATGTCAAAATTCCAAGTTGGAAAATAGATATGCACACCTACCAAATGTGGCCTTTTAGCCCCTTAAAAATCTGACAAGCCTATGCATGGGTGGTATGACCGTACTGGGGAGATGTTGCTGAACACATAGTGGGGTGTTTGGCAGTGACACATAACAGGATCTGTTAATTCATGCCTAAAGAACAATGTGTGTGAAAAAAAAAAAAAAACAAACACAAAAATATACCACCATTTGAAATACCCTAGGGCAGCGTTACCCAAACCAGTCCTCAAGACCCACCAACTGTCCAGGTTTTGTTAGTAACTCCATTGGAATAAAACAGGGAAATACATAAATCCTGGACTGTTGGTGGGCCATGAGGACTGGTTTGGGAACCACTGCCCTAGGGTGTCTAATTTTCAAAAATATGTTTTGATGGGGTAAAATACATTGGCCGGCCTTACAAATGTCCCAAAAAGGACATGTGCGCAGGTTGACTACATGACGACAAGCCTATGCATGGGTGGTATCACTGTACTCCGGAGATGTTGCTGAACACATATTGGGGTGTTTGGCAGTGACACATAACAGCATCTGTTAATTCATGCCTAAAGTACGTGTGTGAAAAAAAAATAAAAAATAAATAAACTACTACCCAAAGGTTTAACAAAGGCTATTGGTTAATTCTGTGCATGAAAAGTGTTAAAATACCACCATTTGAAATACCCTGGGTTGTCTACTTTTCAAAAATATATGGTTTGATGGGGGTAAAATAAATTGTCTGGCTTCAAAAATGTCCCAAATAGTACATAGGCGCAGGATGACTACATGTCAAAATTCCGAGTTGGAAAATGGATATGCGCACCTGCCAAATGTGGCCTTTTAGCCCCACAACAACCCGACAAGCCTATGCATGGGTGGTATCACTGTACTCGGGAGATCTTGCTGAACACATATCAGTGTGTTTTTGGGCAGCAACGCATAACCGGGTCTGTGAATTTATACCTGAATTGCAATGTATGTGAAAAAACTAACAAAGAACTAGCTATGCGAAGACTGGTGGTAAAATGGCTGCATAGAAAGTGTAAAAATATCCTTAGATGAATACCCTGGGTTGTCTACTTTAAAAAATATATATACATGTGGTGTGTTTTCCAGAGATTTATGACCGTTAATAGTGTTACGTCACTATTAATACATTTTAAAAATGTATGTTTTGAAACCACAATATCCTACTTGTACTTATAGCCCTATAACTTGCAAAAAAAAAGCAAAAAGCATGTAAACACTGGGTATTTTTAAACTCAGGACAAAATTTTGAATCTATTCATCAGTTTTTTTCATTAGCTTTTGTAGATGAGTAAAAGATTTTTCGAGTAAAAGTAAAAAAAAACATGTATTTTTTCCATCATATTTTTAAAAAAATTTAAATTACATGAGATTATATAAATAACGGTATGTTAAGAAAGCCCTTTTTGTCCGGGCAGAAACGATTGAAGCGGAGGCCAGCGGCCACCAGCCTCCCGCCCACCTCAGCTTGCAACAGCTGCAGGGGCCAATACTGGACGCTCCGAACTGGGAACCTGACACTCCCAATATGCAAGCCAAACAGTCCACCACTATGGAGAAGATCACAGAGACCGCCAACGAGCACACCAAACGATTCGAGAGATATCAGTACTCTGCTCCAACAGCCGGCCCAGCCTAAAATGGCGGCTCAAGATGAAAGCATGGCCCCGGCAGAACCTCCTGCAGAATGACCCTCCTCAACAGCCTATAACACAGGTACCAAAAACACCAGCCATATGTTATGTGGATGTAGCAACTCTGGATACCAAGCAAGATTTTGCAAATCTACTCACAGATATTAAACTGCTAGCAGCAGATGTGGATCTAGTCAGGGCTGAGGTGCAGATGGATACAGATAGGATCCGTGCATCAGAGGAAGACATTCTTGATATAAGACAAGATGTGTATGTCACGAAGGACACCGTTTAGTCTATCTAAACCGTCCAAGCATTTTCCACACACTTGGTTATGTTGGATGATCGCACCCGACGCAACAACTTGAAGATACAAGGCATACCGGATACCATACCGGCCTGCCTTTAGGCGCATCCAGCAAAATGAAAATTTTTTGTTTTTAAATACTTTTGTTTTCTATCTTATATACTCTATTAAGTACATTGCATAAACTGAGCCTACTAAATACCCCAAAGCAGTTACAGATTAATATACAAAATGTTTTAAGCATATATACTCCACCTAATAAGCTAAAGAATTTCAGATGAATCAGTTCAGCATGTGATACTTTACTATTTAAAAATGTGCACTGTGTATTGCCAAAATGCCATGTTAATGTTCTGCTATGTTTTATGAACGTTTGTAATGGCTGTTGTGGCTTTGCAAGCCCGTTTGTACCACTATGCATGACAAAAAGAATTGTAATAAAAAAAAATCTGGTGTGTTACATCAGTATTTATTATTTTGTTAATGCCCATGTCGTTAGGTCCTAGTCTTCCATAAGTGTTAATTTAAGATGTTATTTTTATCCCTTATGCGCCCCTCCCTGCACACAAAATTGAATTGTGATTACAGCCTCTTGCATGATAGATCTAATGGAGGAAAAAAAAAAAAAAAAAAAACAGTTGATCAAACCTAATCTAATAAATATCTACCAAAATCAGAAACCTTTTGCTTAAATTTCAGTTGAGGGGGGCCAGCTCCTAATTAAAACTGCAACATCTCAGGAATTAGACTAGGTCTAACAAATTTTGACTTATCAAAACTGAAACTGAGTCATCATAGTAGCCTTTTGTATGAATTTTTGTTGAGGGGCTTAGCTAGAAGATTGTTAATATTGCATATTTTAGAGTAGATTTAATAAGAATAACATTCTAACAAGATCTAACAATGGAATGATCTTTTGTTAAAATTCTTAACTTTTTGGTTGGGTTTTCTGTGGTTATACCAATAACTCAGATTTCTGGATTTCTTTGACCTTGGCTAGATTTATTGGATCAGGAAAGCAAAGCAATATTTCAACCTATAGATAGGTCTTCATCAAGCTTATTTATAGGTCGAACGTTGCTTTGCTTTCTTGATCCAATAAATCTGCCTATGGCTTTAATTCTGTGAGTGCCTGAAGATTTTTCTTGTTTTATCATACGTGGTTTGGATTTGCTGGTTCTGCGCACACAGTTTTAAGTGGAGTTGAATACGGTTCCTTTTTTCTTTCTGTATTATAATAAACCAAACAACTCAAATTACTACATTTAGAATACTTGTTCAACTGGTATGCCTTCAAGGGGGCAATTTTGTTTCTTAGGGTGCCATGTTCTCTCAAAGGCGACATAGGCCCAGAAAATCTCCTTCAATTTTACAAGCTTTAACCGGCATTTAATATATTTTGCCGTGTGACTTATCGGAGGGAAAAAAAAAAAAAAACACAAAACAAAAATAAATACAAAAAAAACTTGGAATGGGAAAAGACTGTACTTTGTAATATAGCCTCAAAGAGTTTACATAGAACTCAGAGCTCCATCAGCTGTTCCATGGCCATTTAAAACAGGTAGTCTTCTGGAAGACTGACATTTCATTATATTTCTACATACCCTGTTAATTTTGTTGTATGTGTATGTTTTTATATTTAGTGACTTAGTTTTATTATTTTCAATGTATACATTTTCATGTCTTTGTAACTATAGCCTGTGCTAATCATGCAAAGTATTTTGTCTTTGTCCATCATGTTAAAAGTTAGTTTAACCAGCTCAGGCCCATATATCTTTCCTGTTCCTTGTTTAATGGTTTTATTTTCCTACTTAAATACATCGGTCTTATCTCTGTAATTCTCAATCTTAGCTTTTGTTTTTCCTTAAATGACCTTAAATCAAATGTCCATCTATGCATCCCCCTCCCCATCTCTTAGCCCAGTGGTTCGCGACCCCTGTGGGGGTCGAATGACCCTTTCACAGGGGTCGCCTAACAGGAACTCACTGTATGATTCATCTGCAAATATTAGCAACAAAGACACTGCCACAAGAGTTACAAGAAGTAATGAAAAGCATCATAAGTTCTGCCAATTTTGTAAAGGCAAGCACTTTAAACAGTCGACTGTTTTCGCAACTGTGCAACGAGTTGGATGCGTCGAACAATGCTCTGCTATTTCACACTGAAGTGAGATGGTTGTCAAGAGGAAAAGTTTTAAAACGTGTTTTTGAGCTTTGTGATAAACTCAAAACGTTTTTTAATCAGAAAGCAAAACCGCAGTTCGAAGCACTTTTCAGCGATAAAAGTGAACTGCAGAAAATAGCTTACTTGGTTGACATCTTTGCCATCTTGAATGAGTTAAATTTATCACTGCAAGGACCAAATGCAACATGCCTCGATTTGTCTGAAAAGATCCGATCATTCCAAATGAAACTTCAGCTTTGGCACAAAAAATTGGATGAAAATAAAATTTACATGTTGCCTACCTTATCTGCTTTCTTTGAGGAACATGACATTGAACCAGACAAAAGGATTACGATGATAATGTCTGAAAGAACACTTGCACATGCTTGCAGACAAAATTTCATCGTACTTTCCAAATCTACCTGACACCCCATTTGCACTTGCCAGAAGCCCATTCACAGTCAAAGTTGAAGATGTTCCTGATGCAGCACAAGAGGAGTTCATTGAGCTTATTAACAGCGATGCAGCGAGAACAGAGTTCTCTACAATGCCAGTTACAAAATTCTGGATCAAGTGTTTGCAGTCATATCCTGTTCTGTCTGAGACTGTGTTGCGCCTTCTTCTTCCATTTCCAACAACATATCTTTGTGAAACAGGGTTTTCCAGCTTGTTAGTTATCAAGTCTAAATACAGAAGTAGACTTTTTGTGGAAGATGATCTTCGTTGTGCTCTTGCAAAGACTGCCCTGAGAATTTCTGATCTGGTGAAAAAGAAGCAATCTCAACCTTCGCACTGACGTTGGCTTTTTACGCATACTGTCGCAAAATGTAGCTTTATTGTTGTTATATTATGACTGTTTTATTTGTAACTAGAAATATTTCACAATATATAAATACATATTGTTTTTGTGATTAATCACTATACTTTATGTTCAAAACAATGAAAATACATCCTGCATATCAGATATTTACATTACGATTCATAACAGTAGCAAAATTACAGTTATGAAGTAGCAACGAAAATAATTTTATGGTTGGGGGTCACCACAACATGAGGAACTGCATTAAAGGGTCGCGGCATTAGGAAGGTTGAGAACCGCTGTCTTAGCCCATCTGACCCTAATATACATCTCTCTTCCACAGTCTGATTTTATTACAGACACAGAGGCGAAGGGTGCTGTCATCTGTCACTCTTCCTCTTTCTTGCTGCTCCCTCAGAGTTAAGTACCAAATTTTCTCACTGCATATTATATTTATATATATATATATATGATAATTTATTGTAGTTAGTATTCTGTTTTACCGCTATTTCTGTACTTGGTGTATATCCAGACCACCTTTACTGAGATACCCGTGGTGTTAGGGACCCCCTGGGAGTTTTTCTTCCCATAAATATTTACCTCCCTTTCCCTTGCCTCGCGGTTTCGACCGCATTCAGACACCGACAGTTCCCCCTTCACACGGGAGAACCGCCGGGTTTGTTTTGATGGCGGCGGTTTTTTCTCCCTCTCCGTGCGGCTGAGTTTTCACACGCTGTCAACGGCCGCGAGCTCTGTGCGCTTGCGGCCATTGTGAGAAGAGGAGCCGGCTACGGCCGTTGGCGCGCTTTCCCTGCTGAAAGCGCGTATAGGCGGGGAAAGCTGTGGGATCTCTCTCCTTCCATCGCTGGCTGACGGCTCCAGGCTCCTCCGGCAGGGTATACACCAGATTGAATACATAGTTATCTTACTAGTTATATTAATATTTAACCATTTCACTGTGTAGTGCAGTAGTCAGTTTAATTTGATTGTAGTGTGGGTTACTCAACCCTACTTATCTAATTCCCCTGACCAGTTATTCCTTTACTGTGGCTAGCTACTTTTTAGCCTTTTCCCCCATCCGCAGCCTTACACCCACCAACATTACTTGCTGTGTCCTACTCAAAATTGACAATGTGTCCTCGGTGAGATACATAAACCATCTAGGTGGTCACAAAATCAAAGATGTTGGCCCTCCTCGCCAAAGAATTTTGGCACATCTGTCTCTACAACATCTCCGTGATTGCAGAACATATTCCGGGGCTGGACAACTCCACGGCGGATTGGAACTCCAGATACCTCAGGGATTTGGGAGATTGGAAGCTGCACATGCAGACCTTTCTTCAGCTACAAACACTATGGGGTCAACTGGACATCGACCTATTTGCTTCTCGGTTGAACACACAACTTCCGAGGTTCTACAGCTGGAGACCAGACCCGGCGGCTCTGGCGACGGATGAATTCATACAAGTATGGCCACAGACAAGGCATTATGCATTCCCACCGTTCAGCCTCATACCGCGGACTCTCATCCATCTCAGACGGTGCAAAGGTACTTTGATATTAGTTACCCCGTTATGGCGAACACAGACGTGGTTCCCCAGACTACTAGAGATGTCAATGGATTTCCCATGATTGCTGCCGAATCTGACGAATTTGTTGACCGACCCGGACGGGAACTCGCACGATTTAGTGAACATAGGTCTGTTACGCCTCATAGCGTGGCTCCTTTCAGGGGACCCTGGACCATCCCTGACGTTCCACAATCAACTTTTGGCAGAGGCGTTGGCACCAGGCACTAGAAACACTTACCAGTCTACATGGAGATCATGGGCTAGCTGGTGCCTGGCAAGGGTAGTGGATCCCATATCTGCCCCTCTGAATAAGATATTACACTTCCTCACATCTATGTTTGAAGCAGGAAAAGCTCATCGTACGATCAATGTATACAGATCGGCTATAGCAGCAGGCCATCAGGGATTTACGGCAGGAGACCACCCCTTAACTTGCCGACTTATGAAAGGGATTA